TTGTGTTTTCATTTTCATTGACTTCCAGGAACTTTTTAATTTCCTCTTTTATTTCATCGATGATCCATTCTTCATTAAGTAATGAGTTATTTAGTTTCCAGCTGTTTGCATGTTTTTTGTCTTTACTTTTGTTGTTGAGTTCTACTTTTACTGCATTGTGATCAGATAGTATGCACGGTATTATTTCTATTTTCTTATATTTGCTGAGGCTTGCTTTGTGCCCTAGGATATGATCTATTTTGGAGAAGGTTCCATGGGCTGCTGAGAAGAATGTATATTGTGTAGAGGTTGGATGAAATGTTCTGTAGACATCTACTAGGTCCATTTGATCTATTGCATATTTTAGATCTTGGATTTCTTTATTGAGTTTTTGTTTGGATGACCTATCTATTGATGATAATGGGGTGTTAAAGTCTCCCACAACCACTGTGTTGGCGTTTATATATGCTTTTAGGTCTTTCAGGGTATGTTTGATGAAATTGGGTGTGTTGACATTGGGTGCATACAGATTATTTCCTTTTGGTCTATTTCCCCTTTTATTAGTATGGAATGTCCTTCTTTATCTCGTTTGATCAATGTAGGTTTGAAGTCTACTTTGTCAGAGATAAGTATTGCTACTCCTGCCTGTTTTCGGGGGCCATTGGCTTGGTAAATCTTCTTCCAGCCTTTCATCCTAAGCATATGCTTATTTCTGTCTGTGAGATGAGTCTCCTGTAAGCAACAAATTGTTGGATCTTCCTTTTTAATCCATTTTGTCAAACGGTGTCTTTTGATGGGTGAATTAAGTCCATTAACATTAAGCGTTAGTACTGATAGGTATGTGGTGATTCCTGTCATTTAGTTGTCTTAGTTGTTTGAAGGTTTGATTGTGTGTACCTAAGTTGAGGTTACTCTCTACTGTCTTGCTTTTTCTTTCCTGTGGTTTGGTGCTGCCTGCTTTTCATGGTTAAGTTGGGTGTCACTTTCTGTGTGCAGATCCCTTGAAGAATCTTTTGTAGTGGTGGCTTTGTGGTCACATATTGTTTTAGTTTCTGCTTATCATGGAAGACTTTTATTGCTCCATCTATTTTGAATGATAGCTTTGCTGGGTAGAGTATCCTGGGGTTGAAGTTATTTTCATTCAGTGCCCGGAAGATCTCACCCCACGCTCTTCTTGCTTTTAATGTTTCTGTTGAGAAGTCTGCTGTGATTTTGATGGGTTTACCTTTGTATGTTACTTGTTTTTTCTCTCTTACAGCCTTCAATATTCTTTCCTTAGTTTCTGAACTTGTTGTTTTAATGATGATATGTCATGGGTAGTTCTATTTTGATCTGGTCGTGTTTGGTGTCCTGGAGGCCTCTTGCATCTGTATGGGAATATCTTTCTCTAGATTTGGGAAATTTTCGTTATTATTTTGTTAATATATTACGCATTCCCTTCGCTTGCACCTCTTCTCCTTCTTCGATGCCCATGATTCTCAGTTTGGTCTTTTGATGGAGTCAGTGAGTTCTTGCATTTTCTTTTCACAGGTCTTGAGTTGTTAATTAATAGTTCTTCGGTTTTTCCTTTAATTACCATTTCATCTTCAAGTTCTGAGATTCTGTCTTCTGTTTGTTCTATTCTGCTGGATTGGCCTTCCGTTTTGTTTTGCAGTTCTGTTTCGTTCTTTTTTCTGAGGTTTTCCATATCCTGGCTGTTTTCCTCTTTAATGTTGTCTATTTTTGTCCTGAGTTCATTTATCCATTTATTCATTGTGTTCTCTGTTTCACTTTGGTGTTTATACAGTGCTTCTATGGTTTCCTTTATTTCTTCTTTTGCTTTTTAAATTCTCTATTTTTTTGTTGTCTTGGAATTTCTTGAGTGTCTCCTGTACATTTGGTTGACCCTATCCAGTATCATCTCTATAAAATTCTCATTGAGTACTTGTAGATGTCTTTTTTTAATTATTCTTGTGGCTTCATTGGGTCTTTGGCATAGTTTATCTTCATTTTGTTGGAGTCTGGATCTGAGTTTCTGTTCTCTTCATTCCCCTCTGGTTCCTGTACTAATTTTTTGCTGTGGGGAAACTGGTTTCCCTGTTTTTTCTGTCTTCCTGTCATTGTCTTTGGTGTTGTTACTGTCCCTGTACTGTGTGCAATTAAGTATTTTCTAGCTTGTAATAATAACAATGGTAATATTTAGAATGGAAGGTGAGCTGAGATGGAAAGCAAGAAGTTAAAGAAAAGGGAAAACAAATATACAGACAAGAGGAGAAAGCAGAAAAGGTATCAGACAAGAGAGTTTCAAAGGTATAAACAGGAGTGTTAGTGTACTAATCTACAGTAAGCTGAATAGACATTAGAGAGACATAGAGAGGATTGAAAATCAAAGATAAAAAAATAAAAAATAAGTAAATAAAAGAAATATCTATATATAAAAATGAATTAAAATAAAATGGAAAATAGAAAATTAAAAAAAAAAAAACCAAAAAACTTCCAAGTTTATATGCAATGCAGTTTCAGTCTTAATAATTTGGGTGTCCGTCTCAGACTCCAGTCCTGGAGATGGTGCCTCAGATGTTGTTGTAGTTGTCTCATCAAAGGGGATGCATAAAGTAGAACAAAACTACACACACACACACACACACACACACAGAAAAAAAAAAGCCCCACCAAGTGTCCCAAGTTCAAATGCAATATAGTTTCAGTAAGTTTTTCGGCTTGCAGGAGTAATTCGGTTGTTCTCTCATCAAAGGTAGGGAGAAAAAGAAAAAAAAAAGCGTCTGGAGTCCGTTCTGAGAGTGGTGTCTGCAACTGTGGCTCGCCTGCCTGCTGCTCTCAGCCTGCTGTAGCTGGCGCTTTTATACAGATCTCTGGGGTGAACTTAGCACTCACCTGGTCCCACAGGCTTTGTTTGTTCAGAGTTCTCCTGTGCGGGGGCCTCTGCTATAAGTTTTCCCCTTTCCAAGCACTGGGAAAGGTGACACTGCCCCGCGTTGTCAGGCCTGTGTGTTTATTTACAGTTCACGTGGGAAGTGGGTCTTCCCTCCTCTCCTGTGGAGTTTTTCTCCCTCCACCACTCTCACAAGCTTCCCTGCTCCTGGTTGCTGGGTGCGCGCCCTGCTCCCACCAGAGGCTCTCCGGCCTGCCCGGCTTGTTTATTTACAGTCCCGGGAAGGATTCCCTTCCCCCAATCTTCAGCGCTCAGGGCGCCCCACCCTCTTTCCAGCGTGTCTTAATTGTTCGTATTGCTTATTACTCAGATTCTCTTTTTTCCCCGGGTGGAGGTCAGTCTGTCCAGGAGGCTATGCTGCTCTGGCCCAGGCTTGTCTGTGGGGGTACCGCAGTACCGTGAAGCTCACCTGGTCTGCGTCTTCCCAATCCGTCTGGGTGCTGGCGACTGGCAGCCCCGGGGGCCCTCCTTGTTTCCCCGTTTAACGTGAGGTGGAGATTCTCTGCACCGGCTGGAGGTGTAGAGGGGTCAAAGTTATGCCTTTTCTCAGTGATTATGCCTGCAAAGTGTGTCTCCAGCGTCTCTCCAAGATTTCACTATAGGAGGCTCGCTTTCTGCTTCTTACCTCTATCCGCACCATTCTTGGACCTGAGATTTAGTTTTTTAAGTTCCCTATTATTCTGCTTATCAGTCCTGTGTCTGATGTATAGTTGCAAATATTTTCTCCAACGCTGTAGGTTTCTCTTCAGTTTAGAGACCACTTCTTTTCATGAACAGAAGCTTTTTAGCTTTGATGGTCCATTTATCTATGCTATCTCTTAGTTGCTGTGCTGCTGGGGTTTCATTGAGAAAGTTCTTACCTATACCTACTAACTCCAGAGTATTTCCTACTCTTTCCTGTATCAACTTAAGAGTTTGGGGTCTGATATTAAGATAGAGGATTCTTACTTTCTTTTGGTCTCTGCTGATATGATTTAAAATTCAAATTCAGAAGCTCTCTAATTCTCCAGTTATTTTTGTCAGTAGCTTTTTTAAACAGTCATAATAATCATGACCATGTCTTAAGTTCTTACTTGAGCCAGTAAATGGCTGGCATAAACTCATGAACTCACAACAACAAGCTGAGAACTATTATTGCCTCTGCTATGAGCACGGTGAATGGGGGGGGAACAAGCTTAGGGAGACTCAGTGCACTGCTGCCACTCACCCATCTGAGGAGGAAGTCCCTGCCCTTCCCCTGTGCTGCACTGCCTGAACCTAAAACAATTCATGTATAAATGATGATCTCTTTTTTGTTTCTCTTGATCAATTATAGATACTATGCAACCTGAGTTCTAGAAAAAAAAATCACAAACATCCCCACAAAATTTTTGAATGAAATTATAACTTTTTGCTGTTAGTTATTTAAATAAAGAATTGTTATAGCTCTAGCTATTGGCAAAACGTATGTATAATCCCAGCACATACATAGACAGAGGCAGAAAGATTTTGAGTTCAAGGCCAACCTGGGCTACATAGTGAGAACCTGCCTTAAAAATATATACATACAAAAAAAGAATTGTCATAGCTCTTGATGTCACAACTGAAAGGGACACAACATTTTCAACTAATCCAAGGTTCAGGCTGGTGGAGTGGCTCAAGTGGTAGAGTACCTGCCTAGCAAGTGTGAAGCCCTGAGTTCAAACCCTAGTACCACCAAAAAAAAAAAAAAAAAAAGAAACTAATCCCAGGTTCTATTAAGTTACAAGGAAATGATATCATAGTTTGGGGACCAATGACATTCTTTCAGAAAATATTTCAAGGTGTTTACTTTCCCAACAAATGTCAATCTGAAGATTTATCTCAAGCTGCTTACTTTCTCATTTAACTTCAATCAGAAAATATGTATCAAAGCCAATTATGTTCTCAGATTTCTATATTTTAAGGATGAATGATCATATAACTGCTCAAATCATATAGTAGAGTCAATCTATAGTGATCAGAACATTTGCTTTGTTCTCTATGACCTTCCAAGACCACATAGCTGCTCCAGTTTCCTATTTGGAGCTGTTCTCTTAATGTATGTTTGTCCCTTCTCCCTTTTCTCCAGGACTGCCCACCAGAAGCAGGTGATTTCCGAGCTCAGCAGTGCTCTGCTCACAACGACGTCAAGCACCATGGCCAGTTTTATGAGTGGCTTCCTGTGTCTAATGACCCTGACAACCCATGTTCACTCAAATGCCAAGCCAAAGGAACGAGCCTGGTCGTGGAACTAGCACCTAAGGTTTTAGATGGTACTCGTTGCTATACAGAATCTTTGGATATGTGCATCAGTGGTTTATGTCAAGTAAGTGCTGAATTCTTTTCATTCAATTTGTCCAAAGGGTCTAGGACCTTTCTGTAAGCAGATTTTGCAGAGTCCCACTATCTGAATCATTCAGTGTTACCCTTTCTAGAGTTTATAAATGGTAACAGATTTGAAAATGGAGGTTTAATTTCAGTGAAAAGTACAAGTGTGGTATTTTGTATTAAGGAAAAGTGAACTAGAGTTGTTCTTTTCTTTCCTGAGTTTCACTTAAATATGGAAGAATAAAAATTCTTGAATGTTGTCTCTCACATATGTACTAGACTTTGAAGTTGCCTCTACTTTGGTGTGTGTGTTTGGAGGCAATGATTTTCATCTATTTAGAGCTCCAGAATATCTCAGGTGAGAGTGACTAAAATCCCCAGGTAAATTGTAGGAGAGCTTCTTGCTTTTTTTCTCTGAGTGTATTGAAAACTCAGACAAATTGTAAGGAAAGGCATAGTAGCATCAGTTGGGTTGGATTTCAGCCAGTTGATACTGTCTTTAAAACAGGATATCAAAGATGATTAGCTGCCATCATCAATTTATCAGTGTCTACTTTGAGTAGACAGTCAGTAAGGTAACAAAGAATTAGTACCTTTGCCATACACTTGCCATCTTTATTTAAATTTCACTGTTTGGTTTGTGATGACCAGCCTTGATATTGGAACAAGCAGTTTTCTGGTGTGCTTTTATTGACCATATATTTTTATGTTTTACAAAGCAGACATTTTAAGAACATTTGCCTTGACTAAGACAATATTGACTTAAATTATCTCTTTTTTAAAAAAATTTTATTAAGATATATTCATTGTGCAGGGAGGATTCTTAGTGAAATTCTCATTAGGCTTTTATTTTACATTAGTTTCATTACCCCTATCATCTCTCCCCCTTGACCCTCTCCCTGCCCCACTTAAAGCAATTGTAAGAGTTTTCTTTGTTCTATTTCATATAGGTATATGATGTCCATCAACCATATACCTCTCCTTAATCCTCATTCACCCTCTCCCTTCCATCTAGTATTCTCCCACATACACTGTACCTGTTTCACGGTCCTGTCTTTCATTCTTAATATTTAAGTTGATGTTCAAAGGGGTGTCTCAATGTATCCCTGCTGTAAGTATACTTTACTTTGGTCCATTCAACCCCTTCCATTGCTCTCCCTTACCCCACTAACCTCCCGCCCCCCAATATTCAACAGCTTTCAGTATACATCCTTATATCCTCTACCTTCAGAGATTAGTGTTTTTAAGATATTACTGATGCTCTATCATTCTTTTTTCCTTCCCTCTTTTCCTGAATTTCATAGAATAATTCCACTATTACAAACATGTTCTCTATGACTTTGTATATGATCATGCTTGCTTTCATAAATGTTTGTCTTTTGGATTTATCTTCCTTGTATGAGAGAAAACATTTGGCCTTTGTCTTTCTGAGCCTGCCTTACTTCACGTAACATGATGTCCTCCAATTGCATCCATTTACCTTCAAACCACATGTCATTATTCCTTATGCCTGAGTAAAATTCCATTGTGTGTATATACCACATCTGTAACATTACAACAAGGAATATAAGAAAAATATAAAATGTGTTTCAGTGACTTATTTTAAATTCACATATTTATTTAAAACTAAAATTTTTATTCCAGTGCTTAAGGAAAAAGTTGCAATATAAATTATTTGAAGGGATATGAGATGTTAAGCCAGGTTTTATGTAAATGAGAGGGAAACAGACAAAGTAAACCTTCATTATGGTTAGAATCATGAGACAGGGAAACACACATGCAAGGATTCTCAGGTAGGAAAATGGGAATGATGTTCATATATCTGAAGTTTTCTTCATGTGCAAGATATATGGATCTCAAATGTAAAGTTCACTGAGGAATTCTATTTTAAAGCTAGGAAGGGCCTTAAAGATGATCCAAACAACACCTTTAGGGGAACATATTTGAACAACATCATTTGCAATATTTTAGAAATGTTTGCAAAATGATTTGTGATTATTTTTAAGTATACATTTCTAGTGGATAGACTCTTGGTGGTTTTCAAAAGAAATTGTGGAATGTGTAAAACTCTAGGAATAGCAAAGACTTCTAAAGCAAAAATATACAGAAAAGGGGTTATGTTGTAGGGAATAGCAAATAAAAGAATAATTCCTATATGTATCCACTGGGTAAAGGAAGATTTGCAATTTGTCAAAGCAAAATTCAAGGACCAGAATATTTGCTTGATCTTCTCAAAGTTATATCGTTGGTCATAGCTGAAATATGACTAAATTCCAGGTCTTCTAACATCCAGTCCGATGTTGTTTCTACTGTATTATATCGCTGAGTGAAGCAAAATAAACAAGATAGGTTAGTACATTAAGTTTCAGTTGTCTCTGTTGCATGGGAGCTCAACATGGTATGTTTTTTTCCTGGCTCCTCCTGCCAGATGGCCTCCTATACCTTGGTAACTGAAAGAAAATCCTATCTCAACAGCTGAAGAATAAATTTTATATAAGTAAACATGGGGAGAAATTGCTGGACTTTGGATACCAAGTGTAAGCATGCCTCTTCAACTTAGATTGTAATGATTATGACTTGGGAGATTTGAGAGCAAATGGAAAGTATATCATACTTGAAGAGAATTGTGACTTAAACCTCGAGGTTATGACTGGGCATTATTTTCTTCATTTATTTGTCTTGTAACAGGCAATGGTATAGTAATGTGATGGAAAAACACATTGCATTTGAACACCAACAGATAACTTAATTTGACTGGAGGGCAGACAGGTGCATCAGCAGCAAAGGGGTAGTTTGGGAGATAATCAGGGAGGCTTGAAAAGCAGGCAGGACTGTGATAAACAGTGGCTAAGAAAGAGTTGTAGTGGTGAAAAGACAGAATCATAATTCTTCTTTAGAAAGATTATTATCTGCAATTACATGAAATTTATACTAGAAGACCCTGGAGGCAAGGAGACCAGGTAAAGTGGAGATGCCAAGGTGAGTGAAGCATGAGCATTGTCAGGGCAATGACAGCAGGATCAGAAAGGAAAGGGAGTATAAAACAAGGACTCTGCAACTTGGATTATGACTAGGGCTGAGGGTAGAAAGCAATAAATCAAATCAATCACATTCAAGGCATCAAAAAATGTAACAGGCCTCTGTAAGGGGTATGATTTGGATCCTTTTTACTGTGACCAGCACAGCCTGTGTTTGCATAATTAAATCTGACTGGAATTCTCTAAAATGAATGGAAGATCTGAGGAGTACAAGATGACAGAGGAAAAGAGATGAGATACTTGAATGCATTCCACCCTTTTTTAGAAGGATAAGAGCAAAATTAATCAAAGAAAAGTTGGAGTACTTAACTCCTATGTTAAAAAAAGAGTTTAAATATATAAATTCCATTTTAGTTAGATTGCATCTTTGTATCAATGATTAGTGTTTTCAGTCTTTGGTAAGAAGTATTAAGAAAAAAGCCTAATTTTCTTTTTGTTGTTGGTCTCCTTTTTATTATTAGCATATAACTTATGTACAGTAGAATATATTGGATATTTACATATGTGCTTATAATATATCTTAGATTTACCCCTCCATCATTCTCCCTCCTCCTCCCTTCCCCTTCTTGATCAGTTTCCAAAGATTTCATGTATTTTCATGTATGAATATAAAATACCTTTACTATATTCACCCTCATTCACCCTTTCCTTATCTACCACCCCCCCTCCCAGACACTGGTATCCTAGAAAAGCCTGCTTTACTTTCCTGGTCTTCATTTTTTTAGGTGTATATTGATAGTCCAAGGGAGTTTCACCTTGGCATTTCAGACATGTATATATCATGCTGTAATCAGATTAATCCCCCCATTGCTTACTCTTTCTCTATCACCAGGGTCCCCTATATTCAACAGTTTACAGCACACTGCACAATATTATATTCATATATAGAACAGATGTTTCAATATTTTTCATTCTCTAACATTTTCTTTCCCTCTCCCACTTCCCATAGTCCCTTCAGACAGACCCACTAATACAATCTTGTTCTTTCATTATATATGTGAATATATATACATATATATTATCATATATATGTATATATGTGTACATTTAACTTATAGGTCTAGCTTCCACATATAAGAGAAAACATGCAATCTTTGACTTTTTGAGCCTGGCATATTTCACGTAACAGGATGTTCTGCAGTTCCATCTATTTGCCTGGAAACAATATAATTTCATTCTTCTTTATGGAAAAAGCCTTTTTTGATGTTTTTAAAAACATGGTCAGGAATCTAAGTACTAACTTAAAATGTGTAGGGTTTTTATTTGGGTGGGAGTGGCAGTTCTGGGGTTTGAACTCAGAGCCTCGTGTTTGTTAAACAAGTGTTCTACCACTTGAGTTACAGCCCAGCCCTACTTTACTGAAAAAAATCATTTCTCCAGCCTTATTTTCCCCCTTCTTTCCCTTTTTAATCCCTTTTTGAGGATTCTCAGCTTTTCTCTGGCTTTGTTTTTGGTCTGATAATTTTTTATAAGCTGTCTCAAATATTTTTGGGCCTAGGAAAATACAGATTATAAACTGCAATAAAGAAGCAAATAGTTAGACAGTTTTGCCTTGATAGAAAATGACAGCATTTATAGAAATTTGTCATTCATAAGCATCAATTTATTGCAGTTATACCTATTCAACCTCTTCTAAGAGTCAATTCCTCAAAACTATTTGGGCCTTCAATTCTTTGACAGAATCATGCAGTTCCAGGCTTTTTAGAACCAAAAGATACCTGATCACTTAGCAAATATTGCTGTTTCACAGAGGAGAAAACTGAGACCTGAGGACTCTTAAATAAATGGGTTACCTGAATTTATTGTAAATTTACATCAGGAAAATCTAGAATTATTGCTAGTTACAATATATTCCTAATTCTTATTGAGTAATAGTAGACCATCAAACTGTATAGCATATTCACTCTTGCTGTAGACAGTGGCACTAAAAATATTAGCTTCCATTTTGGAGTGACCAGCA